GTTATCAATTTTTATAAATTGATATGATGTGATTTTCTGGAATTTTCTTTGGGATTCTGTCTTTCACTGTTAGAATGTACATATGATTAAAGTTATAGATCGTTGCATTCTTTGTAAGTGGGCAAACCTGCAAAATCAGCAAGGGCTCAAATACTTATTTCCCCCACTGTACATGTAAATTATGTTAGCTTTTTATGTGTATTTTAACCTGTACAGCACTTTGGCCACTTTGGTTATTTTAAATGTGCTCTATAAATAAAGTTTGACTTGACTTGACTTGACTAATAACATCATGATGATCGGGATTTATTTATTTATTCATTATTATCATCCTAGTATGCATTTTGTCCTATTAAAATGCATTATGATGTTGCTCATCTGAAGATTTATTCCCCTAATAGTAAAACCTGATGAGAGTTAAAGAACAGGACATTAAAGGACATTAAAGTTATAGATCGTTGCATTCTTTGTAAGTGGGCAAACCTGCAAAATCAGCAAGGGCTCAAATACCTATTTCCCCCACTGTATTTGGTGTCTTCTGAACTGATGTTCCTTTATTTATCCCTCTGTTCTCTGTGTGCAGATCTGTGACTTTGGCCTGGCCCGTGTGGCCGACCCCGACCATGATCACACCGGTTTCCTCACAGAGTACGTGGCCACGCGCTGGTACCGCGCCCCAGAAATTATGCTCAACTCCAAGGTGAGCCCCGAGTGTTTCTGCTCCAAAGTGTGGTGACCACAGAGAAAACTAGCCGTTTTTTAGCAGGTGGAAAAGCAGAAGTTTTTCCATCCAGTAGCGAATTTCTTTTATTAAACGTCACATTCCACCAAACATTTCTGCATTCCCAGTTTGGCAATCTGACCATCTTCCCTATTTCAACCTTCACAAACATCTTCTTAAGTAGTTATTTATCTACTTACTTAGTTGTCAGACTCATGTTGAACAGAGATTTACTCTGATAACAACTAGCCTTTTTCCTAATTTAATGGTAAAAACTTTGTTCAAAATCCTATTGTACACAATCAGATACACCTGATAACAGGGGGCAGAAGATACACAAAAAATAATCTTGACCTATCACATTGTAATTAATTATTAATATTGAAAAATTATTTTTGTTTTTTTCTTTTTACATACTTTGATAAAAGGCCAAATAAGGAATTCAAACAAAAAAAAGGAATTTTCTGTTTTGTTTTATTCTTGGATCGGGCTTTAAAGGGCTAACATTGCCGCTTAATGGTTAGGACACAGAGCTGTGGGCTAGGAGATGCTAATGCTAATGCTAACGCTGTGTGCTTAGGACCGGATATCAGGGAACAACACAGCAAAGTGGAATGGATTATTTTAATCAGTGGGCTGGAAAACACAGATCAGATTTTTTCTTAAAAACCGGACCTGGATTCTGGATCTCCTGCCGGCCGATACACTTTTTTTTTTGCAAATATCTGCATTCGATCAAGATATCGGATCGGGTCTAGATCTGTCCCATATCTGAGGACAACGGGGGAGCGTCCGCCCCCATTATCGCCCCCAGCAACGGGAGGGAAACAAAAGTTCCCACCCCTCACTTTTTCAATCAATCAATCAATCAATTTTATTTGTATAGCCCTTTACAATACCGTAAAATGGTACTCAAAGTGCTTTACAACAAAGCCATAAAACAATACAAAAAGACATACAAAACATACAGAAACAACTAAAAATGCTGTAGTGGTGCAGGGCATTAAAAGCCTTCCAGAAGTGCGTAGAAAGGAGCAGACAGAAGGAGGAAACCTAAGAGACCCTAGTCGGAATTAAATGCTAATTTAAAAAAGTGGGTCTTAAGCTTTTTTCAGAAAAAACCTTAAAAAAATCAGCAAATGACTAAATAAAGTAAATAAAATAAAATAAACGCGGTCATCCCATTTTAGTCCAATTTTCTCTTCATTTTTGAGTCGATAGTATTCCAGGAAAGATCGATCTTTGTTTTCAGTGGTCAAACATGTCCGTGTTCTCGTGCTTTCAGGGTTACACCAAGTCCATAGACATCTGGTCGGTGGGCTGCATTCTGGCCGAGATGCTCTCCAACCGGCCAATCTTTCCTGGAAAGCACTATCTGGATCAGCTCAACCACATTTTGGGTAACAATAATACTTTGTTTTAAGTGTTAAAACTCTTGGAATAGTGTCGACTATTCCTCCAGGTGACAAACTTTTAACTCATTGACTGGCAGCCATTTTCAGAACAGAGAGTCCCATACTGCCAGAGTTTTTTGAGCATTTTGACTGATTTTTCTAGAGCCACAGAATAGTTTGTGCTATGACTATG